ACTCTCTCTCCTCTCTCTCTCTCTCTCTCTCTCTCTCTCTCTCTCTCTCTCTCTCTCTCTCTTTCTTTCTTTATTCTCGTTCCACAAACAAAAACTACAAAGTTCTGTTGATATCATTGTACGTTCGATTTATTTATATTAGATCTACTTCGACACACACACTGCTACGGTTTGTTCTATGACAACATCATACACAGTCTGTGGGTGGTTGGCGGGTGCTCTGGTGTGGTTTGCTCCTTCTTTCCTATCAAACAACTATCGTCTTTATCGCTCCTCCTTCTTTTTTATGTTTGTTACTCTCTTGTAACACCTCTAATCTTCGGCACTTTTATGATCTTATAGTGTTGTAAGTACCGTAAAACTCTTACTTAAACTACACAGTCCCCCGTGGTCCACAATAAAACAGTATACAGTACTTAGTGGGTTGTTGTTTTTCACTGTCTCTAGTGTTCTGTAACTATTTGAAACATTATCTCTAGAGTTCTGTAACAAGTTGACCCATTATCTTTAGCGTTCAGTAACTACCGATCCCATAATCTCTAACGTTCTGTAACTACTTGGCCCATTATCTCTAGTGTTCTGTAACTACCTGATTCACTGCCTCAGGCATTCTGTATTTTCGTTACCCATTATCTCTAGCTTTCTGTAACTACTTGGCCCATTATCTCTAGCATATTGTAACTACACCACACTCTGTCTCAAGTGTTCTGTTGGCACTAATTTGACCTTATTGGGTTGCAGTGCCATAAAAAAACCTCTTACTAAAACAAACAACTAATCGTTCTGCAACTACTTGATTCGCTGTCTCTAGCGGTCTACATATACACAATACACCAGTCTCTTGTATTTTATGACATCACAATACACTGACTCTAACTTTCTGCAATTACTTGATTCACTGTCTCATATCTTATTTGACTATGCAACACACTGTGTTTCCTCTAGTGCTCTTTGAATAGACACCATGCTCCGTCTCTAGAGTTATGTAAGTATTTGGCTCAGTGTCTCTAGCATTACATAACTACTAGATTCACTACATCTCATGTTCTGTAAGTATTTGTCTTACTGTCTCAAGAGTTATGTGTCTCACTGTCTCTAGAGTTATGTAAGTATTTGTCTCACTGTCTCTAGCATTCCTTAACTACTAATTGATTCACTATATCTCATGTTCTGTAAGTACTTCATTCACTGTCTCTTGAGTTCTGTGATAACACCATACATTGTCTTAAATGGTCGCTTTTAAGCACAAGCGGGCTATCCCGAAAAAACGCTGTTTTGAGAAAATCAGAGGTAAAGTTTTTGCCCCTTGTTCAGTTTCTGTTTTCACCATAACCAAACAAATATACACACCAATGAAACCAAACTTCTCCTATAGGTAGGGCAACGCCCACTTTTGGTGTAGATCAAGATTTCTGGAAACCCCCGGAATCTGGGTCAGCCCGCTTGTCGCTAAAAGCAACCAAATATACTGCGACAACGCCACGCACTGTCTTCGTTGTTCTACGACTCCACCATCCACATTTTCACTGCACGCTCACAGAAGTGACCTTCCCATTGGTTCCGCCAACTTCTTCCGAACCCTCCACATTCTTCGCCGAATCGTCCACTTTGACATTCGTGACGTCAGAAGCCTGTATATCGTCTAGTTCTTCCTCGTCCAGAACGTTATTGATGACGATCTCCAAGTCGGCTATGTAATTTTTCTTGGCCGGGTCCGGGAACTTTTTCTGAAAACAGCACAGTATCCCATTAAAATAGTTTTTGTAATTGTTTTACGGCACTTGCAGCCCAATGGGGTCATATAAGTGCGGAAGAATAGACGTGTTACAAGAGAGTAACAAACACAGAAAAAGAAGGAGGAGAGATCAGGACGATAGATGTTTGATAGGAAAGAAGAAGCAAACCACACCAGAGCACCCGCCAACCACCCGCTCCCATTATTATGTATTTTTGTTTGAGTGTCTGTCGTTTATGTTATTGTCT